ATCAGGACGAGATTGATATCTCTCTAATGGACCAGGATAGAACACATCATTATCTCCAGTACTCATAGCTCTTAGCTCTCTATTTGACTTAAATAGTCTTCCTCTTTTTCTCTAGTCTGTTTTGATTTATAAATACATATGATCCACTGGAGCCTCTTAAATGTAAGCCAATAGTTCAAAATACTGCCTCTTGAGCATCCTGTGACTTATTAAAGTGTTTCCTATTTTCAATAGCTTTTGTCTCCGGCTACAATTTACTGGCAATTCATCTAGCTTTCTTGCTATTTGTTTTTTAATCTGTTCAGGCTTATCTTCACACATAAATTGGCATACATATTTTGCTGCTCCATAGACATTTTCTGCTACTTTGAATGTCCATGTTAGCTCTCCATGCTTTCAGTAGGTCAGGATTGTATGGATTTATCATCTCAGCACCTGCTTTACATTTCAGTATGTAGAAGCGAGCTTTGTTTCCAACGTCAGCATTTCTTTTGAGACGAGTTGTCACTTGGCCTCTTTGGGTAATCAAAGCGGCCGTGATTATGTCCATTCTTTCTACACGTTTTTGTATGATTATGCTTTTGTAATCGCAATACTAAATCTTCTAAATCATCATCTTCGCCATCTTTTGGTATGTGACAACTAACATATTTATCAATGAAACCTGGAGCTTTCCTTCTACCTTCTACCATCTTCATATCTGGTGCATCCTTCTACTCACCATTGACTATGTATATGAGGTAATACTCTTTGTTGAAACTCAACTTTCCAAAATTAGTCTTTTATTTCACCTATAGGCTTACTAGCACCATTTATTATATGATTCATAAAAGCTTGAAAGCGATGAGAGAAAGGATGTGCTAGTATCACTGGGTAGCTACTTAGTAACCTTCTACTCTCTGAGGTAGACAGCTCTTTTACTTTATCATCACTAAGGTTCTTTCCATCACATTTTTCAAGTACACACATTAAATCAAACCAATTCATATCACTGGCGGATCCAGAAAAATTAAAAGGGGGGTTCCATTTCACTTAAGTAGGTGTGGCTCATTACTTTCAATTAAAATTTGGGTGTGGCTCATCAATTTTAATTAATAAAATGAGGAAAAGTGCTGCAAAGAATCCAAAAATACTGCAAAAAACCAACTTCTTCTGCCAAAGATGGGGTTCCATGGAACCCATGGAACCCCCCTAGATCCGCCACTGCATATCATCAGCACTTAATGTGATAAAGAAAGTAGGTGGACCCAGCGTTCTAAACATGGCAAACAAATCAAGCTTTGCTATATTCCAGTATGCTGAGGAACCACGTATATTTCGCATAAATGCATATGAATTTTCTGAAAGCTCTGGGCTTTCACTTAAATCTCCATTTAATAATTCACCAGCAGTAATACGCCCTGTGCTACGTAATGATGACGATGATGTTATTCACATTGCAATTGATACAGAATCACATCATCTCATCTTTTCAAGTAAATTTGCTGACTATAGTAAATATGGAATATTACTAGACCAATGATTATCAGCATTAATTAAACGTGATTGAATGTAATCAGTAAATGTTATTGGTGGATCTCTTGCTGTATGAAGACCATTGACTCCATTTGGACATAGACATGGAAATGCCATTTCTTCTGCAGTATTATCTTCATATAGATTTATTGGCTGGCCACTTACTCGAGGAAGCTGATACACTTGATTATTATATGATCCATTTCTAATGAAGTCAATAGCTTCTAAATTTGGTAGTGTATTATCTGTTCTGACTACTGAACATTCAAATTGGGGAGACTCAATGCTAGTACTTTGCTGAGGCTCATTACTACTGTCAGAACAGTCATTACTATTTATAAAGATTCATTAATAATCACATCGCTATGTAAAGTATTATTATCTTTTAACCACCTTAGTGCATCAACAACAAATGGCTTCCTCACTACAAATAGGTTTCTAGTACTAGTAGATATGCTTGATTGTGCAGTGTTAGCACAAGCACTGTTTGTACTGGTACTAGCTCTAGCATTCTCAGGCCCACTAATAGTACTGGCTGTTTGATTACTAGTTCAAACAGAGACTGTAGCGCTTGTGCTCTCTGGTCGCTTAACTAACAATACTCCATCACTATTTAGTGGCCTAGGCAAAAAATTAAATACTTCAAACACATTTGCTGGAAAATCAATTGTCTGGCCAGCCAATGCTCTTTGACCCAAAGGCAACACTATTAGCTTCATATAGGCTTGTACTCTTGAAATTAGTCTCTGTTCCATCGTGTTCAAACGGGATAGTTCTGGTGGGATTTCATCTACATGCATTTTATTTATTGTAGCAAATGATGGGATTTTCCCTTTCTTTATAAAAGCAATACATCTACTACAAACATGAACACTGCCATTTACTTCTTCATTAGGCAATAAGGCTGATAATTGTGTATCATTAAGACATGCATGATAATGCCGATGTAATACATCATGTACTATACTCACATCAACCAATGATACACCTTTTGGGTAGCACAGACGCTCACATGTACGGCATATGCTGGTCAGAGATAATCGTATTTCTTTTTGAAATTCATTGAGGTCTTGTCTTGACAGTTGTTGCTAACGTATGCTTTGAGGAAAGAGAGCTGGGCGTGTTTGGTTAGCTGATAATTGCCTAGCATACTCCCTCATTCTTTCATTTCTTTGAGCTCTATGCATT